AAGCCATAAATTTGGAACACATCATTTGGAAAAGAAGTTTCTTGCTTATATAAAACACATCTTTGTGTACAGATATTGGCACCTCACGATTCGGAAATATGCCGACTTGCTTATGAAAATATGGAACCAAAGTCAGAGTATTGGGATTTATCAGAACTTTCAGCACATTCACTTTTACATTCAGCTGATCTCGTAATGGAAAAATACTTCGCTGAAGAATTGTTTCTGTGTCGTTATAAGTGAGTTACATATCAGACAGTCTGCTCAGCCACCTCAGTAAAATAAATTGTGAAAGATTAAAAGTAAAGCGAAATTTATCTAAAATTCTGCAAAATATCCGGCTCAACTGATTTTCTTGAATAATTTAGATTTCCGGGTAAAAGAAATAAAGCGTGTGATAAAGGGACTGTTTAAAATCTTAATATTTAGATTTCAATATATGTCAATTATAGCTCGTAAAAATGTTGAAGGTCTATCAATTGTTGGCTAAGAAAATGTAATTCAATAATTGTTAACAAATTTAGAACTGGTTCTAATTTTATTCGTTTTCCTTTGCTTAAAAAAAAGTGAAGAGTGTGTCCCATCAGTTTTATTCGTCAGAATGTTACTACAATATGCTGTTATTTAGAACTAGTTTTAATTTTATTTGGTCCAACACGTTGTTAGTTTATCTATTAATATGACAGCACAGAAGTCGTCATGAATGGAACGAGACACGTAAAAATTAAGTTGGGATCAAAATTAACGAAATAATAGTGTTGTTAAGTATATTTTCTGTAGAGAAAACAAATTTCTTATATTAAGCAACTTTCAATTGACTTATAGATGGTAGTATAAAGTTTGAGACTTAAAATTATGTACGTGATATATGTGATATTACAAAATCACGCATTTTAATGGTATTTTTTTGGAAAACAAGTTGTACATTTTAATTTATAACAATTATTTTAAAACAGGTCTCTGAATGAAAAATGTCCAGTAAAATTCACTTATACCGCATTCCATGGTGTTGGACTACCATATATGACAAAGATGTTGAAAGATTTCGGGTTTCCATCGGAAAACATAGTTATTGTGCAGGTATGGAGTAATTGTGATCCCTTATGTTGGTTTTTAATTAATGCGTTGCTACCGTTAATGCTGATAAATTTCTTTTAGGAGCAGGCGGAGCCAAATCCCGACTTTCCAACAGTGCCATTTCCAAATCCAGAAGAGGGTCAGAAAGTGCTCACAATACCGATAGCAACGGCTAATAAACATAATTCCAGCATAATTCTAGCCAACGATCCGGATGCTGATCGTTTCCAGTTGGCGGAAAAACAATCTAAGTAAGAAATTTATCAAACAATCCTTTTTTTTTCCTCGACCTCAATTCAATTTACTTCAGTTTTCACAGAAGTCTACTATCTACCGATTATCTCACGGTGTGAGAGTGGTTGCAGTAGATGATGTGGTACACAACTGGACGTATTTGGAAGGGAATGAAAAATCAAACAGTCCGATCGTTAATCATTTGATCATTTGATCCTTGGAAGCTTAGATCAGTTATTTCACTAGTCACTAGAACAAATCCTTTGTAGGCTGATCGACTGAACAATGCGGATGATTCTGTTACTGACCGAATATCTTACACTATGAAGATTAAAAGATTGTAAATCAGTTTTATTTTCCTATTTTGTAAAATTTCAGAGGTGAATGGAAGATTTTCACGGGGAATGAAATGGGTGCTTTGATGTCATGGTGGATTTGGCATTGCTGGAGAGAGCAAAATCCGAAAAAGGATCCCTCAGATTTATACATCGTCACTAGTGCTGTTTCATCTTCAATAAGTCGTACTATTGCTGACAAAGAAGGTAATTACGATGTGCTGCATAGATTGACTTTTGGAGAGAGATATCCGTGCAGGAAGAGTTAATAATGAAAATTTAGTTATTTAAGAAGCTGAGCTGTAAATTCAAGTCGAGACTCAAATTCAGATCCGAATTTCTTCAGGAGTTACTGTGGGTATCCCAAAATATTCTTCTCTCTTTCCAAAATGGCATCACTCTCAGTATCTTATCTACACTGATAGAAAAAGGAAATTCCACTTATCTTGGAATGCATGGCTATAGGAATATGAAATGTGGTCAAATAATTTTAAACTCTATGAAATGATATTGGTGATTTAACTGAAAAGTAAGAAAAGAAGTTCAAATTAATTTCAGGTTTCAAAATTGAGCAAGGTTTAACAGGATTTAAATGGCTAGGAAATAAATCGGATGAGCTTCGCCGTCTCGGAAAAACTGTATTGTTCGCATGGGAAGAATCAATTGGTTTCATGCTAGGACATGCCCTTGATAAAGATGGTATTACTGCGGCGGCGACATTTGCTGAATTGACATCTTATTTATATTCCAAACAATTAACTCTTGGTCAACAACTTCTCAACATTTATAGCGAGTGAAATCTAGATATAAATTTAAATCTTTTTAAAAATTAATCCACTTAAGTCAAAAAAATAATGTACTGCAAGAGAGTTAAATTGTTGTAAATATCAGCAAGGTTTCTGGATTACTTATCACAAAATCTCAACTTTTTTTTGGAAAAAAAAGCGTTTTTCTAATATTTTTTCAATCTTTCTGTTTATTCCGGAAAGTAAAATAGCTATTCTTATAGATATGGTTTCCATCTAATTAGCAGCTCGTATTGGTTTGTACCCAATGAAATAACAATGAAGAATATCTTTGCAAAAATACGTAGAGATAGTAAAGTATTATTTACTTTTAAAATATTGCGTAGAGATAGCGAAATATTATTTACTTTTAAAAAAATATCACCGAAAGTACAATTTACATTCCTAGCTAAAAAAATCAATCTCCTGATGGCCTATGAAATCGGTAGTAATTTTTCAAATCTAAGTTTTTATTTTTATCAGAAACTAAACGAATGAATGAATGAGATTTATATGCTTCTTTGAAATAGCTTTTTGCTTCTTTCAAATATTAAATAGTACAATACTAATCTTTCAAGTATTAGTATCATACTTAAAATAGCTTCTTTCAAGAAACCGTTGTCAACAGTATCAGCAGTTGCACTTAGTATCAAGAGATGCTTTATACAGAATGGTAATCTCCTAGTAAAAAACTAAGCTGAATACATCTTTGAAATTTCAGTATCCACAAAAAATCGGGAAATTCGATGTTAAATATATACGAGACTTGACAATTGGATATGATAATGAGCAACCTGGAAATAAACCGGTAATTTTTATTTGCTATTTCTTAAATTAACATCACTTATTACCAGATTATATTTAAACAGCTTATTTCATCCCTCTTTATCAATCATTGTAATCGTTATAATCATAATAAAAATTCGTGATTTAAGTCGAAGAAAATAAAGCGAATTAAATAATAGAAAAAACAAAACAAAAACCTCATTAAAAGAAAATGTACCTAATAACAACAGCAATAAAAAGGACTTCATAGAACCGACAACTGATGTATTTTGATACCCACGCAACAAAAGAAAAAAACTGAAAATCATAAAAAACTTTTTAAAAATTTTTTTCCACAGAAACCAACTAAAACAAAATAAGACATCTGTAAATTAAAAACCACATAATAAATCTTTTCCATTCCGTTTGAAACATTAAAAAGCCGAAAATTAAAAAAAAAACAGTGAGTCAGACTTTAATATAAGAAAAAAATTGTAATTTTCAATTATCAAACATTAAAAAAAAAGCACTTAAAAACTCCTTGAATAACATAATAATTAGCCAAATATCTACTAACATCCCCGGAGTTATTAGCCATATAAGTAAAAACAAAGTACAAACAACAAACACCATCTACCAAATAATACAGTTTCAGTAAAACACCATACTCGATGATTGTAACGAAAATAAATTAAAGATAACGTCAAACAGTAAGTATAAAAATGATTGGATTACTTAATGAGAAATACAGTCATGGAAAAATCAATAGTTTAAATTCGCTACAATTGCATAATCACAATCGAGGAATTATGGCAAGACTTTGATAGTCTGAAGATTAAATCTGCATCTCTACCATTGCATCTATCAAATCTTAGTTGTCGCTTCATACTTATAGTCGAGATTGCCTCGACAAATAACTTCGTTCACATTTGTCGGGAGAAAATGGCAACGTACCAATTAGTGCTGGCTGATTGATTTTGGAACATATAGTAGTCTGATACGGAATTTGCAGTCAAAATACTCTATTGAAATGAGTTGGTTTTAAGCTCTCAAATGCCATAATAATTGTTTGTGGAAGGGAAAGAATTGCTTTGAATCTTTCTTTTACAGATTCTACCACTTAGTACTTCATCAGAGATGATTACATTCACATTATCGGATGGTAGTTGGGCAACAATACGAGCAAGTGGAACTGAACCAAAAATCAAATATTACATTGAATTCAAATCGTCGCCGGGCAAAACGAAGAAGTAATTTCTTTAAAACTTTTTTGCTTCAATTGTGAAATAACAAAGTTATCCTTATAAGATGAGCTAGAAATATGGGGGTAGAAGATATAATGTACTTATTCAAAGTACATTATTGATGGCGTCTCTTATTAATCAAAGCTAGTTATTTATTTGATAGTTCTTTTAAAAATCTTGCTGGAAGAAATAGTCTCTCAATCTTGGAATATAATTTTAGAGACTTAGCTGATATACAGCAACAACTTGCCGAACTAGAGCAGGCGGTAGTCGACAATTTATTGGAACCAAAAATTAATGGTCTCATTGCAAGATGCTAAAGTCATATGATCATTATTATCTCTCATTATAAATCTCCTGTATTTCTTTCTCTTCGTTAAATAATGGAAATTTCGGATTTTATAACATTCAAAATTTCAAGAGTTTTGAATCTCTACTCTATCGGAATAGTCATTCCTTATTGGTTTTATATCCCTATTGAATTTGTGTCCATTAATAAAATAAAAGAATCGTTCGTTGAATGATGCTATTTGGCTGGAAATGAGAGATAAAATTTGGTTTGCTTCAATTTTGTTGAAAATCCGGGAGAGTAATGCAATAAAACTAGAAAACGACTCTTAGCAGATGAAAGAAAGCCAGATATGTGAGTGGACAGGAAGATGGTATTATTCGAAAATATTTACATACTTCAACCAAATGTAACGTTATTAATTTCCTTTACTATAAGTAGATTCGAGACTCTTTTTCTTGAAATATTTCGAAAATTTGCATGGAAATTTGTACTTTGTCAACATATTGTCCACTTAATATTTGTTAGTTTGATTTGCTCTGACTTTATATAATTTTATATGCTTTTAATGGGAGCTAATTTTTATTTTTGGGATGAATAAAAGTAGAAGACCGAACTACGCTTTCGCATGAAGAAGTAAAGGTCAAGAGAATGAGGAGGAATGCAATCTAAAGCAATTACATGCTGCTCATTTTTTCGTTGTCATTACAATAAAATAATAACAATGGATTGAGTGGATTAGTCTATTTGACTTTCCTGCTCACAAGAAGTGATACAGTCTCACGATATTATTATAAGATAACTATTATCGAACGGTACATATTGCCAACAGTGATATGATAAAGAAAGTCGGTAGTCAGCTGTGAAATCGGCACAACCGAGATGAGACTTCAGAATGTGGACTCTCGAACAGATAATGTTGAAATCTTCATACGTCACTCTGATCTGAAGGATGGAGTTATTGCACTGTGCTACAACGCTGTTAGTTACTTTTCATTACATTTATTTATACATCCCTGCCAGTTCCATAAATTTCTCTGAAGAGTGTGATTTGTGATTGTATTCGTTAGGTTGCAACGTGAAATTCCTTTTAACTGACCCTATGACGTGGTCGTGTCTGACATACGCTCACTTAATATTCATGCATTGTTTAGGTTATTATTTGTTATCTCTTCTCTTCATTTCTTCTACTTCCTATCTTTCTGCATTTTTTCTCCATGTTTTTAGTATATTAAATCAAGCAAATTGTCATCATTCTGGATGAGAATATTGGTAAGAGTATTAATTAGTAATAATTATTATGTTGATAACAAAAAGTTCATTTTGTAATTACTCTTCTTTTTTCAGCTGGAGTCAATTGTTGTGAAATATAATTACTCTTCTTTTTCAGCTGGAGTCAATTGTTGTGAAATGTAGGAAACAGTGGCATAACAATGGAATCGAGAAAATTTTCTTTAAAAAGAGCCAAAACTAATTAATTAAATGATGAACAAAGTTGAATGTTGACATTGTTAATACAGAAATGGGGCTTTTTTCATCTGGAGGTAGCGGAAAATATTTGTATGTCAAAGTGAGCACAATGGATGCCGACCTAGAGAAAATAACTGTGGAGGTTTGTTTTGTTTATTTAATCAGAAGTCTAACACAGTAGAAGTTCAATCTCCTCGCAAGAAAAAAACTATTTACCATTATAGGTATATTAGATAGAAAACTTCAATATTTTAAACTAATTATTTACTCAATTTCAACTTCTGTTCATAAATAAAGAATATAT